TCGTTACCCACAATTCTTTGCTTAACACAAGTGACAGTTATTTGAAATCAGTGCGTGCCTAAAGCTGGTCTCGGTGCCGTTTAGCGGTTTAGTTTTAGATATTGGTCACCTTGAGAAAAGTTTCCCGGAGAGCATCATGTAAAGCTCTGAGATGGGACAAAGTTATCACGATTCGCAGAGTCTGCATGTATTATATTCTTGTTTCATTTGGCTAAACGGATCAATCACCCTGATCCGGGCTGAGACAGAAAGGTACGATATTGTTCGCTTTTCTAAGGTGACCACTAAGTCTTTGGTCTCGGGAATAGGCTCTTAGGAGTCAAATGAATTAGGTGAGAGCAAAATTGCAGGTGAGCTATCACCCGGGCTAAGACGTTGTTTTTTCCTGGTGTGAAAACAAGGCTAAGGTAATCCGCCGACCGTGTGAATGTACATCCGGGAACTTGAATAAGACGAGTGTAAGAGAAAAGTCCAGAGGTGTTTATTTGGCAGTAGGCTGAGTTTTTCCGAGTTATTCGATGATATTTCGCTTATGTTAAAAGTGAGAAGATTATGCGTGGTTGTGGACAGTCTTATCAGTGCCGCGAAAGTGTGCGATTGTGTGATTTCCGCATGGTGTTGACAGGTATGTGATCGCGTGGTTTAACTGCGGTTTGGCCAGAATATTCTGTGCCAGCCATTAATATTGTTTCGTCGGTGTTTAGCTTAGCTGATTGTACCTTGGAAAAGCCAATCTCGACTCAGGAAAATAGGCTCTAGGTCTAGTTTCAGCGGGCTCTAATGGCATTGAACACATAGGCCGATTTTTGCAGATAAGGAAGTGATAATTTGTGCACCTACGTTTCATTCAGTTTGTTGTCTCTTCCATGCGGAACCCTGTTGTTTATCGAACCGCGAAAAAAGTAGTGTTTTGCTAACTATTTAAGTTGTTATGTAAGCCTTAACCAGGCAGTCTCTCACTGCAGTTCACTCAACTTAAAAACTGTACGTTCTAGACTGAAATGACACCGGTTTGAAACTTCGCGAAGTCAATTTACTGAATAAATGTTCTAAAATTTGCGTCATTTTAAATTTGGAGTCGTTGGAATGCTTCTAAGGACCATTCACTTACTGCCCGGCGTCAGATAAAGGCTTTTATTCGGCCTTTGAACGAGTTTTATTGTTCAGTTTAAATTGCCAAGTAGTAGAATGAGTTGATATTTTTGCTAACCCGGTTTTCAAAAATCCAGGTATATTGATTCTTCCTATAATAATCGTTTCACAAACGTGTTTTTTATTTATTTTTTTAATCTTTTCCATTCTCCACATTTTCCACACCCCGCACTCTACACTCCTTATTTTCCACTAAACCTAGCCTGTACGTCAATTTTTTGTTAGTCATAAATCCTCTTATAATCCTCTTAATCCTCTTCTAGATTTAACATAAAGCATTATTCAAGGAGGAGCATTATTCAAGCATTTTAATGACGTTCAGCTTTGCGGGTGACCGAGCATTTTAGTGGGAAAAATACTGGGGGAACAAAAGCATAATGTACAAAAGCTTAATTGGTGAAATAGCTGAGTTACAGAACTGGGCAAGATGCTGAAGATGGCTATCATTCAGACCATTAATGAAAAATTGTTGCTCTTACTAATTGGTTACCTTTCGCAAAAGGCTCGAGGTAAGGCTAAATGTTAATTTTTTAGTGCTTTTGTTAGCAAGCTTTGGCCAAAAACAACTTATAAAATGTTTCATGATATAAAGAGGACGAATACCAGTGTGTCGCTCTCTGTCAAAACAGAACTCGTCGTTGCACAGTGTTTTTAATTTGCAAGCTAAGGCGCTGATCGAATTCGACATTTTAAGTTTTATTCAGCCGTGCATGGCGATTGAATTCCTAGCAAAACGACTAAAAGATGGCAATGCTATCTCCACATGACAACCTGAAGCAGGAGTCACGAAAATGTTAGGACTTTAAAACTAGGGGTACCTTCCGGCAAGTGCCAACGAGGCGAGTTCGTTTATCTTTTGTGAAATGTGCCTATTCAGATCTTCGCGATATTTTTTTTCATAATTTTAGAGGTTTACAATGGATTCCGCTATAGAAAAGGATGGCACCAAACTTCAAAACAACAACTTTGGCACACTCTAGGCTGTCACTTTTATTAAACAATGACAACATAGCTTGAAGCTTTGTTGGTAAATATGAGCAAGTTAGCACTTGTGTTTCATGGAAAATTCGATTGTATCAAAACTATAAACGTTAAAAAGAAAAATATAGTTCAAATGAGGCCTTTGACTGCTGAAATTAAAAATAATAATGAAATTCCGTGCAACAGCGTCATCAGGAAAAATATTTCGCGTGGTAATATACATAAGAAAAAGTTGGTGTAAAATAAAATATGTGAAAAGCGCAAGACAGGGGCGGAATGTATCAGAGGTATAAAAATATAAACTTAAATAAAATACAAAGATCTAATGAGCGAGTGTCACAGGTCAAAGATTCTCTTGAAAGGCAAAATGATAGTCTTCAAAACAAAAGCATCGCAAATTCGTTGCATTCCGCATGGGAGTTTTGGGCTGTCTCAACGTAAATAAAAAAAACATGCTGGTTGACAAAATCTAAAGACATGAATAGATTCTAAAAAAGGTCCTCAAATACGTTGAGGACTGGCTCAATGTAAATCGACCTGCGAAGAACACGCTGGTTCTGATGAAGTTTTGGGAATATAACCCTATACCTTGATCAGCTACGCTTAAGATTCAATTCACAAAGCAAAAGACAACACGGAAAACCCTGGTTCTGAGTCGAGAAGCGAACGCGCTACCTCATTGTAAATCGAGCTGCAAAGAATAAGCTGGTTCTGACAAAAATTTAAGCGTAAAACCCTATTCCTTGATCAGCCGCTGCTTTAAACACAATTATATTTCGTTTGGTCTCGTGATTAACGGGAAAGTTTGATCTTTAGCATAATCTCGAACGAGTGGACAATCCAGGAGAACTTGTCTGTTGCTTGTCGACGGGTGACTTAGTGGGAATTTCGGACCACGAGTTTTAAACACAAGATCATGACGTCACTACGCAAATATGGAGTCTTACTTACTCCCAAATATGGTCAAAAATGCAAATTTTAGAGGGTTACGCAGAATTTGAGAGTTTTTGCCTACATCGTGCGGGACTATAAATCTGCCGCCGAGGCAACCTCGCTTCTTAGCTCGGTTGCCTCGTTGGCAATTAGTTCGCTGAAAGAAGAAGTCTGCAAATAATTAGATGATAACTATACAACTAAAACAGAAAACTATTTTATTCAGAAACAAGTCGACCAAATTACTCTGGAATTTAGCAACCTTAAAGAAACATTCTATCAACAAAGCTGAAAAGTAACGAAGCGAGGCGACTCAGAAGCCTCCGAAGCAATGAAGCGAATGAAGTCAGCCTGAGGGATATTCATTACGTCGGCGATGACGTACTTTATATTTCCTCTTTCTATAGAGTCTTTATGTAACATGGCCTGTGTAGCTGGCGGGATATGCGGGCGTTACTGTAGTTTAAGAAAGTACCCTGGGCAGAACAATTCAGCCAGCTACACATCGCCCAATGTAAGGGACTCCCGATTGCGGAATCCGGGACACTTTTGCCTGCGAGGAAGCTGTCCGGCGCGCTCTGACGGTGAAGAGTTTTCTCGCAGGCTAGGGAAAATTTTGCTCGTGGAATCCGAAATCCTGGGCTTTGGACTCTCTCCTTCGCAGAGGTTCAAAGGAGCCATGGCGCGAGAGAGTGCGGCGGAAAATTGTTTGGTAAGCGGCGCTGAAGAATCTTTCAGTTTTCGCGGCGGCACTCACTTTGCCAAGCGGAAATCCAATAACGCGTCATCGAGCCTCTGCGGAGGATAGGGTTTAGGAATCCGGAATACAGCTCAGGGAATCCGGAATCTTACTAAGAGTAAGGGAATCTAGAATCCAAGTTCCACACGACAAAGACAGTAAAACAGTATCTGGAATCCGGAATCCCACTCAGAGTGGAATCTAGAATCCAAGTTCCACTCAACAAAGTCTGTAATACAGTACCTGGAACTCAGGAATCCACGACATGGAATCCAGAATCCAAGACTGTGTTGGATTCCCTCATGTGGAGAGATACGCAGGCTACAGATTTGACATCCAACCGTCACTTTCCTGCGACCTCTGCCGGTCCGGGTAAAATTACTGCTGCTATGGTCATTGCGGTTTGCCAAAAAGAACAAAGATGATTTCGTGTGTAAATGAGAGAATGTCTCTATGCCAAATTTTTGCTCGTTCCAAGTCTGTTTGAAGATGATTACCTTGCCAGTACAGCCTTTCTTTCGCTTGCTCGATTTTAGTGTACTAGAGAAAGACTCTGCACGAATGAGATCTCTGTTGAGCATGCACGCCATGTTGCTAGGATACAATTTCCAACGCAGGCCTAATAGCCGCGTGCTTGCTACAGCGGGCTCGGTTTTGGCCATCGGTTTATAAATAAAAAGAGAGAACAAGATTGACTAGTCTAAAAGTTGGGGCAACGGCGACCTCAAATCAGCTCAACCTGATTCAGGCAGGGAGCTTTTTTTTTTTTTTTCTCCTCTTCACTCAAGAAGACAAAAGGAGGC